GTTGGTCTCTGGATTATCAGCATGATAGATCTACTCTCCATCATGGTTCGATTTTGATTCGAGCTTGATAATGATATCGAACTCGACACGGATCGGCCTCCCCGGGTTCGAGGTTAGTTTGTTCCACCTTCGGGATCTTACTTCGATAGATCATCGTTCGAACTCGATCGAACGTACTAAGGCCGAAATCTATTTCGACCGTATACAATTTACTTTTTACGACTTCCCTTTCCACGCTTGTTAAATTGCTAAAAACTGATCTTTCTAAATAAAGAAATTAAACAACTAAAACAATTACATATAAACTCGTCGTTTGATGGGAGCATAATTAGCTAGCAGAAAACATATTCAAAATTTAGACTCAGTCTGATCATCTATATGCTATAGAACCTCGATCGACATTTAGTTTATTAGTGTAGGGATAAGTGTACGTAAGATTTATAGAATCTCGAGTTTTGAAGAAATCCCTAATTAATTACCTTGATAGACAAATTACTTAGTAATGGATGAAATAGATACGTTCAAAAAGAGCAGAATAAATATAATTATGAGCTGATCAGACGTGATCGATTCATTCAATTTTATCCGGAATTTATGAAAGAATTCTAACCAAATTTTGGGAGAAAGAGAGATAGCTTCATCATGTGGTGAGTTTTTTTTTCCTATTCTTTCTTTATGTGTGTTGAGTTAGAAAACACAAAATATAAGGATCCTAAATAGAAAATGTTCATAAAAATTTTCTTTTGCTATCCAAACATGTTTATAAGATGGGAATATGATTATTGAGGACCGCTGCGGCTAATTAATGGCTACAATAAAAATCTTATATATTCCGTATCGTCCGTTAGAAAACATCTCTTTCACGAAATGTGCACTGATTTTAACAATAATAAGAAAGAAGGGAGTCTTTTCGTGTTCATTATAGATTAATTATTGTATTATGTAAGTATCAACGCTTTTATCATCCAGCATTAGTCATTCTTGTTCAACTAAGCTTACATGAGACCTAGTTGTTCAATATCTAATCCTAGCTATATTTATTTTCTTTTATTCTCGACAACTTGGAAACAGCCTCTCTACTCCTTCGGGTAGGGGTAAGGTCTGCGTACACACTACCCTTCCCAGACCCCATTAGCGAGATTTTACTGGGTTGTTGTTGTTGTTGTTATTCTCGACAACTTGCTTGGGGAGCTAATTCTGCTTGTTCTAAGACCATTACGTTGTCCTTAGCTTCTGTTCAAATTCAGTGTATTGTGTCAAAATATCCGTTTATGTATCCTATTCAGCTTATTAATAAGCCACTGGGAATTTCTCTGATCACTATTTCAATCTAACTAATTACAACAGTCTTCAGTTTATGAATCAACTCTCTTTACTACGGACTTACATTTAGCACATTGAATCACTCTCAAACAACGTGGCTTACCAATTTATAAGCTCGTTAAAGTGCAAAAAAAAAAAAAAAAATTATATGTACCGAGTATAAATATATTTATACCATCATTGTAGTTTAACGTGTATATAGCACGCAACTTGCCTTATCTCTTTAAGACTTTAAGTTACTAATCTATTTCTTATGGAGGATTACTCGCAGTTATGTAAACGTTTGTTTACATTATCATTGTATAGAAGCTAAACTCAGAAAGAAAAAAGAAAGAAAAGGACGTGAGAAAGTACACCTAGTAATGCATGCATGAGGATAAGAAAATATCCTTACTTGGTTGTTGAAATATCTCTAAAGGCCAAATAAATAGACGGACCTTAAAGTTATCATAAAATTCCATTTAAACACTTTAACAGAGGCTATTACCTATCAAACACCTCAACTGTATTCAAAATGTGCCTATTGGAGACAAAATATGGTTGGCTTCTCCAAGATGGTGAAATTTTTCCTTAACAGTTTAACTTAACATAGGTTAGTTTTCCACCATTCGTATTACGTGTTTCAAATGTTACACAATTAACCCAAAATTCAGTAAAATTAAATGAAGAAAGTACTATATGGATATCATGCATGATGCAAAGTTACACGTTTCATGTGACATCATCCATGTTTTTTTTAAATGAAATAAGTAGGCACGCACAACTAAGATAATTCGGGAACACCTACGACACGTAAAGTATGTAAATTAATGGGTCTCAAATGCTTGATAAAAACTTATCATAGGTCAAGATCTGTATGTTTGCCTTAGGGTACAGGCAATAGGACCATCATATTTGAGGCAGAACGTGGAGGTGGAGCATAACTTTGTGGTTGTTTTGAGTGAAGTTGTACCAATTGATGTACTTTAGCGATTAGACATAAAATATCAACGCCC